TCAATTCCTTCTCCCAAAAGTCATTTTTTTGAACCTTTACAGCCGTATTTATGGTCCCCCCTTTAAACTCGTCAGTTTTAGGGCTTATGTTGCGGATTGGCGTCGTCGCGAAGCAGGGACGCCTCTTTTGGGCGCCCTGCGCCCGTCTTCTTTTGGACATGGCGCAGGGGCGCCTGTTTTAGGCGTGGGGGCGCATGCTCCTTCGGTTGAAAAATACTTTGCTGCTTCCAGAATGGCTCGGGGGCGCCAATTAGGGTTGGGCGCGGGTCGGTTCGGTTCGATTTTTTTCGGTTCCAGAAATTTTCGGGTATCTAGTAAATGGAACCGTCGGTTCCAAATATAATTGTGGAACCGTTCGGTTTCGGTTCGGTTCCGTTCCGTACTATAANAAAAAAAAAAAAAAACTAAAGCAAATAGACCATTAAAGAAAATAAAGCACATTGACAACTTATAGAACACCCCCCCAAACTTAATCTAAACATTGTCCCCAATGTGAAATTAAAGTTATGGAAGGAGACTTCCCTGGTAGCAATCAGTTGTCACCCTCATCCTCGCCATCCTCAGTAGCAATCGGTAGTCCGGGAGAATTGGAGGTTGTGGAAATTGGTGTTGCGTGGATGGTCACCTGCTTGTGGCATGAATGTGTAACTGCTGAAAATCTGGTTCTGGAAGGTTATGGATTCCATCATGTAATCTAGGCGAAGATCAGTTCGCTCCTGGAAAACATCAAATCTGGATTGGAGTCGATCAACTTTGGCTTCCATATTGGTTCACCACTCCTCTTGTGCAGAACGGTTTCGTCTAACTAGCTAATATTGGGATGATGCTGCTCTGGAGTCCTTTTGTTGCTTTGCAATCAGCTTCTGAATCTTTTGAATATGCGTGTCGTCTAGTGCACTTAAAGTACCCGCCTGATGCTCATTCTCAGTAAAACGTACTCTAGCCTGGATACAGAGATTAGAAATTAGGACTAGGTACGGAAAGCCTCCAGTTGTGGTATCCTTCAAGAAATACACAATGTTATCTTGAATAACTTGCCCAACATCGATACTCATCCCTTGTAGAATTGAAAAGAGCACGTATGCTCTATCTTTGGTCACATTTGTGGTGTGTCTAGTCGGCATAAATCATGCACAAATGAATAAAAACCACACCTTTCCGTCTAGATCAAGGTAATTTGAATCAAAGTTGATTGGTTCTCCGCTGGAGGAAAAATTTCAAAAGGCTTGTTCACCCCCTAAACTTTGGAGCAAGGAAATGTGATCGACAGAACCCTCAAGAAATTGGTGATATTCATCCTTTTCAATAGTTCGTAGTTCGTAATGGGCA